ATCAAATTTATCATGTTTCTGATTTCTGTCTTGCGTACTTCATTTGATCAAATTGTCTCTTTCACTCTTTATTTGATAAAATTTAAGTTTACTCTTGTTTTGTGTGAATGCAACTAGCACAAATTTAAGTTTAATCTTATAGGTTGTTAATGTTCTTGTGCTACAAGTTTAAATTTATGTTTGATTCTTGGGAATGTTTTCTTAAATTGTTTTGATTCTTGATTTTGTGTGTTTGACTTTCTGTATGAGAATGTTGTTGATAATTTAGGTGTGATCAAATTGTCTGAATTTGCATTGAAACACGACTTTAATATTAAAAAGATCACGCAATTTAGTTATTATCATGTTTCGTTTTCTTTTGCTTATTTATGGGTTAAAATTGCTTAAATAGTTTAAGACTTCAAGTAATGAAAATATATATTAATTGTCTTAGCATATAGGTCGATGGTCGATATTGCTATCGAAAACTATAGGATTGATAACATACTGTTGTTGATTTTGAGATACAAATTGGTTTGAATGGGGAGTTAATTAATTACCTGGTTGATTAAATGGGGTTTGATACTAAAATTCAGAATTTAAAGTTTTTGCTCTTCCAGGAGTAACAGTAACTGGGTTTTGTTATATTTCCCTTTATGTGATTGTAAATATATGGAGGATACACTTTCTTTTGTTTATTCTTTAAATTATTTATGTGAATTGATAACTGATTTATGGAAGTATACTAAATTATGATTGGGATCTTTTGTTAAGGTTTTTTTTTTTTTGCTACCAAGTGATGATTGGAATAAAATTGTTGATGGGGGTGTCTTTCGTGTTTAGGTTTTCTTTTATAATATAACATGCATGAACGGAATTAGAGTTTGGATAAGAAGAAATGAGATTTAAACATTTGTTGCATGGTTTTACTAGAAGCACCCCCAAACATTTGACGCAAGCCAACCTGCCAAGCTGTTGGATTTTGGTTATGAAATCTATTGTATTGAAATCTGGTTGACTTTGTGAGCTCGATGCATGCCAAACCCGTCATGAAAGTGTTGAATTTCTTTTTCTTATATCGTAATCTATATACTACACTTTTCGTGCTTTAGCAATTAAGGACTTGATATGGAAAAAAAAACAAAAAAAAAAAAAAGCGTGAGTATCTCAATTTTCTCTTAATTGAGAAAAAAGATGTTTTCTCTATTAATTCACTAGGTGTGAGATACATGAGTTTTTTTTAAATTAATATATTTTGTTAAGAATTACATGTTTAATAATTTATAAAACTGAATTTGGAAAGAATATTAATATTAGTTGTGAATAAACCAATTTTTGCAAGGTTTCTGCAAATTATCGTAAATTCAAAAAAGATTGGCCGAAAATTATGTTTTTCAATTAGGAAGATTGATTTAAATTTAAATTGTATTTAATACATTAATTGACAAATTACGTGAGAATTTATGGAGACATTTAAGATTTCTTATTTTCTTTAATATTTTTTAGATTAGATTTTTTTATGATTTAATAAAAAGCCAAAAAACCACAATTTGCCAAGTGGATTTAAATGAAATTGAAATATTTAAAAAAAAAATATCATGTGACATATTGAATTAGGTGATGACATATGACAAAAAACCTTTATTTATTAGGTAGGATAGCTTTGGTAGTATAGAAACTTCCTATAATAACATTGTATATCGAGAGATCTACGTTGTGAGCCAATAGATTTGAAAGTACAACTTTCTAGAATGAAAAATATAATTGAGTTGATTTTTCAAAGTACAATACATCATTAAGAAAAAATTGATTATACAATGTTGTAATATAAAATGAAAGAAAGTATGATGCGATGATAGACAAATATGTTGTTGTTTCTTACATGTAGCACTTTCGTTTTTTCCGTCCATTTTCCAAAGTGTGTCGTGATTTTCTTGATTTCTTTTAGAATATCATTTTTAGTCAATTAACGATATATCCTATCCAATGTTCCGTGATATTACGTCCGTGGATCAATCCCACAACATAGACTCACCTTATTCGTGACCTTCCATTCAACCCAAATGATCACATATGCAAATGCAATACATATATAATCGATGCTTATCGTGAATGCAACATCTAACATCATAATACAATGTGCATTCTCGTTTATAAAATGACTCCTTTGATAGGTACCTCATTCCATTCGGTCATCATACAACTCCTCACTCGCCCAATAAGACTATTTAGGCAAATAAGTCCATCTTCTAATAGTGTCACAATTGGTTCCGTACTTTGACGTTTTTCCCATTTAAGTGTTATATTGGTAGATGGTGTTTAAAATATATCTGGGAAAAATGATTGACTTATTTGTAAAAAGTTAGCACTTGATAGGAAAATTAAAAGATTAAGACGTTTTTTGCATGCATTAAATAAAAAATAAATCCTCGAAATCTTCTAATAAGATTATTTAGGCAAATAAGTCCATCTTCTAATAGTGTCACAATTGGTCCCGTACTTTGACGTTTTTCCCATTTAAGTGTTATATTGGTAGATGGTGTTTAAAATATATTTGGCTAAAATGATTGACTTATTTGTAAAAAGTTAGCACTTGATAGGAAAATTAAAAGATTAAGACGTTTTTTTGCATGCATTAAATAAAAAATAAATCCTCGAAATCTGTCTATGCAAATAAACTAATTTCATTTTTTTCCATTAGTAGGGTTTGATGGGAACAAAAGGTTGTATGTTTCGGGACGTTAAGATTGAAATGGATTTTATGGTTGGAGGATTATTGCAAAATCCCAAAAAAGTGAAGGAGGAGTCGGTATTACTCGACACACTCCGGTCTATATCTACAAAAGCACTAGCACCGGTGACTATCGGTGTCTTGAATTTTGATGCACTTAATGGGACGTTCGAGAAGATACATAAAGACTTTTCCCAGGTATGATAGCAACTCTCATTTTTTTCACATGTTTTTTTTTCTCTCAATATCGTGATAAAGTATAAAAACAAACAAAACCGTGGGAGATTTGAATGAATGATAGTATTAAGTGTCTTGACACCAAAGTTGTCGATAACGAGTAGCAGACGATATATAGCATCTAAATTGTTCAAGTCTAAAATGATTTAACCTAATTAAATAATTTCATGGTTAGAAAATCATAGGTAGTGGCATGTTCACAAAAAGAATAAAAAAGCACAAAACATAAATCAAACAAAATCGTATCAGTTTTCCAATTTCAAAATATAATACGAGTACTTATCCCAAAGGAAATAGAAAGCAGCAATCATAAAGAAAACTTCATATTTATCTAAAAAGCTAAATAAACAATTACTACATAGAAATAGAAAGTAGAAACTATATATTGTTATGTTCATATTGACAGCTTTAATCGACACTTGAGTTATAGTTGAGATCCTTTAATATGATCGTGGCAGAATGGGAGGAAGAGTGTTTCCATTTATTTTAATGCATAAACCAGTATTTACGCCTTATTTTTTCCCTATTTTTTACAATATTTATATTATTTAGTATGTCATTGACGACACAAATGTTCTTTTCTTACATTAAGTATTCAAAATCTATGCAAATGAACTAACTTTATATGTTGTTTTTCATCAGGAATGGGGAAACGTATGTTCTATATATGGCGAGAATTCCTTTAAAATGGATCTTAGTAATCTCGATGCACGTTATATGAGACCATTGCAACTTTTCGAAAAGTTGAAGGTTGAACAAGGGTCTTTTGCGTTAAGCATACTAGTGCCATGTCATCAATTCCATGTACTTAACTGTTAAGTATTAGTTAGGGAGTTAGAGTTGTTACGTCTCTTCTAGATCATTCTAACTCCTTCTCTATTGTATAAATAGATGGCACTGTACTCTTTTCATTTCAAGAAATACAACATCACAAAAGTCTCTCTCATACTAAATTCTCTCTCTTTTCTGTTTGACTTTATTTTGATTTCGATGCATTTTATGTGAGGTTAGCTCCAATTTTTCCCAAAAATCCACAACAGTCATCCAATAAAGTCTCCTCTTAGGTATGATTTCATTATTCCACATTTATGTTTCTTAATTCTCTCCAATATCGTTTAAAAAAAAATCAAAACCGTTTATAGTTTTATTGAATGATACTTTGTCACACCCTGAAAATCCGAGCATGTGAGTGCTATTAATTCCTTAAGTAGCGGAAGCTTTGACTAACAATACCTTAAAAATCTTGTTGCGTAAGTCTACAACATAAACGAATATGGCTAATATTAAAACCAAACCAAATAGTTAAATTAATAGCTAAAACTCCTTAAAGAGTTCATGCTCTCCTTTCCTTTATTCTATGATATTTTATGAGATAAATGTAAGGTATTTATGTTTTATGCCGGTTAGTTCACAGTTTGATAAAATATAAAATACCGCATCCAAATGTAAACATGCACTTCAAAATTTCATAACATGTTGAATATATTTATAAATGTTGAACACATGACCTCCAAAAATATACATAACGAAATATCATCATGTAAACCAAAATATACTAAAAACACCATAATTGGACACTATTTAATTGTTATATGGAAAATTCGAAGGAAAATACATTACGTGAAATTGTAAAAAGTTAGGACTTGATGAGAATGAACTAATGTCATATTGTTGTACGTCTATTAGGCTCGGGAAACCAAAGACTTTCATTATCCTTTGGCAGTAAAGGCAACAACTATTAGTCTCTTAAGTTTTAGTGGGTCAAACTTCGGTTTTGATGCATTCTATAAGAAGCTACACAAACAAGACTCTTCTCAGGTATATATGGTATAGCTTCCACATGTTTCTTTTCCCCTCAATTTCATGATACAACTTTTGATAAAAATAATAATAATAAATAATCAGCGCCTAACGTACAATTTTATAAATAATTTGACCGAGTCGAGACTACCGGATTAAGCATGGGAATTGTTGGATGACAAGGTCATATAGAAACGTCCAACCAATTGTGGCAAAAGCATCCAACAGAGAATATAATTGCATGGCAACAATTATGACATCCATTGCAACAACAGCCATTGCAGGAAGCCTGAAAAATCAACCAATGCTCCGAGAGATACTCACGAGGGTGGCAATGTCCATGGCATCCGAGTGTATGCCAGCAGTTATGAGAGTCATTGCACAAAACCTGATAAGTCAACCCAAGCTCCAAAAGCTACTCATAATGACCATAACTATTAATTTCCCATTAGGTATGTGTCGAGAACACAGCAATCGCGTACCTGCTTGGCTTACAGCTGTTCTTGTAGCCATTCCATATATATCCATCACCGTTAATGCTATTCTGATGCCAAAAGCCACCGCGGCATATACACTTGCCGCCACCATTTTGGGACTATATCTTGGATGTATGGCTGAGCAGCAGCGCCTAAAATCCATTGCCGCCATGTATCCGCCTGAGCCACAGTATAGGTATTACAAATATTAAATCATGTCAAGTAGTTACTGTTGGTTTACAAAGTAGTTATTAATTCATAACTATAAGGGCATATATGTAATTTTGATTAGAAAGTTGTTACAGTCGTTATTTATACTGTATATATATAAGCTTTGTAGAAGGAGATCTTCTTAATGAATGAGAAACTCATTTTTCTCAATCTTCTCTTCCGTTTTCAATCATTTTATTACAATCTAACATTGTATCCGACGTGTAATCGATTATGTTCATCCTTTCTTCCTCAATTTCTTTCAATTTCTTGTTCATCATGTCTAATTCTTCAACAAATGAATCATTTAATTCATCGATCGATGTCTCTAGGCCTTTCTTCATCGGATCTTCTGATAATCCGAATTCTGTTCTTGTTTCAAATATTTTCACTGGTGTTGGATTCAATTCTTGGAAACGATCGATGGTGATTTCATTGTCTCTGAAGAATAAGCTTGGTTTTGTTGATGGAACTATTGCTCCACCTCTTTCAACATCTTCTACGTATTCTAACTGGTTTCGTGCTAACTCCATGGTTATCAGTTGGCTCTTAAATTCTGTTTCCAAGACAATTGCTGATAGTCTTCTATTTCTTCCAACTACAAAAGAGATTTGGCAAGAATTACATCAACGATTTGAACAATCTGATAGTGCTCTCATCTATCAAATGCAACAACAGCTGTATTCTCTTTCTCAAGGTGCTGATGATTTCTCTTCTTACTTTACTAAGTTCACCAAACTTTGGGATGAAATTCGTATGATACAATCTGTTCCTAATTGCACTTGTGGTGCATCTGTTGCAATTAACAAATTCTTTGAAGAACAACGCTTAATTCAGTTACTAATGGGACTTGATGAATCATACAAAATTATTCGTGGTCAAATTTTGATGATGAAGCCTTTACCATCTGTTTCAACTGCTTATTCTCCGATCATAAAAGAAGAACGACAACGAGGCATCAATCTTCCTTCTTCTTTACCAAATGATGCAATTGCTATGCAAATTTTATCCGATTCATCTCGCAAATTGCTCACAAGCAATCATTGCAAGAAATCAGGGCATACTAAAGCTCAATGTTATCGCCTTAATGGCTTTCCTTCGAACTTCAAATTAATGAAGAACAAGAAAGATGATGTTAAACCTGATGGGTTTTAGGTAAAACAAATAAACTAGAAAAACAATTCCTAAGTTCACATGCAACCTACTTTGGATCTATGTTTTAACTATTGAACATATAACTTTGAATTGCAAAACAAGAACCCTAGAGGAGAGAGGCTAATTTCGAAATTAACAAACTAGGGTTTAGGAGTTACATACCTTTCAATTGTTATAGCAAACAATTGATAATCCACTTGATCTTGATCTTGATCTTCTTGGAAGCTTAGCACCACAAATGTAATGCCTCTAATGGAATCACACCCAAGAACTAGCAAGAAGGAAACTTGGAGGAGAGAGGATGGAGAGAGTATGCAATTTCGGCCTTAGGGTTTCTTCCAAAGAAATCAGTGACCTCAAATGTGAGCCAGGAGGCTCCTTAAATAGCTGAGGGATCTAGGGTTTAGGGAAAACCCTAGTTATCCTTTGCTTAGGGCCTAAGCAAGATCCAAAGGCCTTATTTGGACCCCTTGGACGAAATCTCTAGGGTTTCCCCTAAGAATTTCGTCCACCTCCTTCCAAGGGGGTTCTGGAACCTTCCACTCAACTATTAGTTAATTGCAAACTAGTCCCTACACTTTATAATTAATTCTTTTAACCCCAAAATTAATTCTGATTAATTTCTGGCTAACTATTAATTAAACATAATGATTTCTAATTAATATATTAATCTTTTAACATATTAATAAATCATTTATATTAATTCATTAATCTTATAAATTAATATCTCTCCTTTCATAATTTCCTTGTCCAGTTGCTAGGTTGAGGGCAACCCAAAAGGACTGTGCTGCTATCAATTCAAGTACATACCAATTATAGTTATGGGCTTAGACACCTAATCCAACAAAACCTACAGTTTAGAACGTTAATTCTAATGAATCTCCACCTATTTCACAAGAACAATACAATCAATTGATTCAACTGTTGAACATTAATTCTCTTTCAAGCCCTGGTTCATCTTCTCAGTCAAATATCTCCATTGTTAATGGTGTTATGCAAGATGAAGGTATTCCATTTGATTTTAAACATTTGGCTGCTAATGTTTATAAATCATCATCCCTATTACATGAACATGTTTCTTGGATTGTCGATTCTGGTGCTACTGATCATATTTGCTCTAATCGATCTCTTTTTTCTTCATTATCAAAAAATTTCACAGCCACATTTTCTTTGTCTTCCTAATGGAAATGATACTATTATTTCTTACATTGGTAATGTTAAATTACATAAAAACTATCACTCTTCACAATGTTCTTTATGTTTCCTCTTTCAAGTACAATCTTGTTTCTGTACCCAAACTTGCTTCTCAGCTTCATACATTTATTCTTTTTACTGACGAATATTGTATGTTGCAGGACCCTTCAGTAAATGATAAATTTGCTCTTTCTTCTTTTGGCCAAAGGATTAGAGATCTTTAAGTCTTTGATCATCATTTCATTCAGCACAATCTTTCTTATAGTATTTCTGTAATAAATACATTGAATTTTCGTTCTTTCAATGTAATGCATAAACATTCCAATGTTATGTTGTGGCACAACAGATTAGGACATTTACCTATTCAAAAACTTCACTCTATGTCTCTTGTTGATTGCTCTCATGATTCACATGTTGATTCTTGTTCTATTTGTTTTAAATCAAAACAACATAGAAATCATTTCCCAAACAACATTTCTGCTACTAATCATCCATTTGAACTCATACATATTGATGTTTGGGGACCTTAGAAAACCTTATCTCATGATGGATATAATTTTTTTTCTAACCATTGTTGATGATTTTAGTCGACATACATGGGTCAACATGTTAACTCATAAAGGATATGCTTTTACTCTCATCAAATCTTTTATTGTTTATGTTCACACACAATATCAAAGGCCAGTGAAAATTATTAGAACATATAAGCTTTAGAGCTTGGTTCTAGTAATGAAAGGAGTCAAATTTTTTCAAGAAAAAGGCCTTCAACATCAAAGATCAACAATATATACCCCTCAACAAAATGGCACTGTTGAAAGGAAACATAGACACATTTTGGAGGTTTCTAGATCTTTATATTTTCAATCTGGAGTGGGAAATGCTTATTGGACTGAATGTGTTCGAACTGCAGTTCATCTAATCAACCGAATGCCCACAAAAGTATTACATCATAAATCGCCTTATGAAATATTGTTCAATCAGAAACCAGATCTTTCTCAACTTAGGTCTGTTGGATGTCTTTGTTTTGTTGCTACACCTTCTGTTCATCGAGACAAATTTATGCCTAGATCAACTCCTTGTATCTTTATTGGTTATCCAATTGGACAAAAGGCATTTAAAGTTCTCAATCTGGCCACCAAATCCATACAAATTTCAAGAGATGTTCAATTTGTGGAAGATGTTTTTCGTCTACACTTGATAACACCAAAACCTCATACATCCAATTCTTTTATTCCCAATAATGCCCCTGATTTTCCAAATACTCCAGATGCTTCTTCCACTATCTTTCCAAATGACCGAACTGCCCCTGAACCAACTCAAACTCAAACTTTAAGAGTTCCACGTGTTAGAGAGCCTCCTGCTTATCTTCAAGATTATATTTGTAACAATGTTCATTCTCATGATCATTGTTCTCATACCTTAACCAATGTGTGCATTCCATCCTCTTCCTCATTTCAAGACCATAATCACCATTTACATTCGTTTGCTTTTACCACTACACTTCAAGTTCCAGAACCTGCCTTTTATCATCAAGCTAAAGGTAATCCATCTTGGGAACAAGCTATGCAAATTGAGTTATCCGCTCTTATCGATAATAACACATGGATCTTGGTTAAATTACCCAAGGGTAAAAAGCCAATTCAATGTCGGTGGGTTTACAAAGTCAAGTATAGAGCAGATGGATCACTTGAGAGGCATAAAGCACGCCTTGTTTCTAAAGGTTTTACTCAACAACAAGGCACAAATTATCACGAAACTTATTCTCCAGTAGTTAAATTCACTACTGTTCACTGTTTAATTGCTTTGGCTGTCAAAAAGGGTTGGGATATTCAACAATTAGATGTTAATAACGCATTTTTACACGGAGATCTACATGAAGAAGTGTTTATGAAATTACCTCCTAGTTATAATGTTGATAATCCACATCTGGTTTGCAAATTAAACAAATCCTTATATGGATTAAAACAAGCCTCTCGTCAATGGTATGCCAAATTAACTCAAGCTTTACATCAACAAGGATATGTTCATTCAAAAAATGATTACTCTTTGTTCTTAAAAAAGGGTAATGGTTCTCTTACCATCGTTGCTGTTTATGTCGATGATATCCTATTTATATGTCACCCACCATTTTCATCATTTTACATGTAATAGTTCATAAAATTCACACGAATATTCATATCAATAATAACGATAACATGTAATTTGCAAATAAATTAGAATCAACTTTCATGCAAGCAACCACAAAATTCACACGAAACTCACCTCGTTGGCGTTAGGTCTTAATCGAATCTTGTCACGCTATTCGCACCCTACATTTAACCAACATATTTTTCTAAGTTCGCAATCCTAGAAAAACATCCTATGTGCTTGTTTAGTTCCACTATTCACTTATCTCGTTCGGCCAACTAATAACTATACAATTTTATTATTCATAAGATTGATATTAATTTTTGATTCAAATAGTATATTGCGTCTTTATCGAACTAAGAAAGCCTTCTCCTTTAAATTATCATTTTATAAAACCTTAATATAAATATATAAAAAAAATTTGTGTGTTTAAATTTATCAAACATTTGAAAACAGTTTAGGAACTTAAATATCTTAAAGTTAACATCAGATTTCAATTCAAATGAAACACACGTGTGTTATATAG